TGGGAGGATATTGCTATGGACTTTATTGAGGCTCTTCCTAAGTCGAAGGGATTTGATACAGTTATGGTGGTGGTCGATCGTCTCTCCAAGTATGCCCATTTTATCCCTCTCAGTCATCCTTTCTCAGCTCTCACGGTTGCTCAGGCCTTCTTGCACAACATAGTCCGTTTACATGGCATTCCCCGATCAATTGTGTCTGATCGTGATAAAGTCTTTATGAGTTTCTTTTGGCGCGAGTTTTTTACCTTGCAAGGTTCAGAATTGCGTCGTAGTTCAGCCTACCATCCTCAGACGGATGGACAGTCAGAGGTGGTTAATCGCTGTTTAGAGACTTATTTGCGATGCTTTGCGGCTGATTCTCCCTCCCGCTGTTCTTATTGGATATCGTGGGTAGAATACAACTATAATACCTCTTTTCACATTCCTGCTGGCATGACACCTTTCAAGGTGGTTTATGGGCGCAATCCTCCTCCATTAACCCACTATGAGCTTGTCTCTATGGCTAATGCTGATGTTGAAGCTGTTCTCCTTCAGCGAGACGCTATACTTAGGGAGTTGCGTGCTCACCTACACCATGCACAACAAAAGATGAAAGACTCGACTAATGTGAACTGACGTGATGTGAATTTTGATGTTGGGGAATTGGTGTATGTGCGAGTGCGACCTTATCGCCAACAATCTCTAGCTCGCCAAGTCAATGAAAAGCTTGCCCCTCGTTTTTATGGACCATTTGCTATTGTGGAAAGAATTGGCACTGTCGCTTATAAACTTCAACTTCCTCCAGATGCAAGGATTCACCCAGTTTTTCATGTCTCGCAACTCAAGAAGGCGATTGGCAATCATATCTCTTCTCCCATGATTCCTTCCACTTTGTCAGCTGATATGGAAATGCTTGTTGATCCTGCAGCCGTTCGAGGGGTGCGTCCATCCACTATGCCTGGAGTTACTGGTTCAGAAGTGCTCATCCATTGGCAGGACCTGCCCGATTTTGAAGATTCGTGGGAGCCTTTTGACTTACTTCGAGTCCAATTTCCTCATTTTAACCTTGAGGACAAGGTTAGACTTTGGGCAGCGGGTAATGATAGGCCCCCAATTAACTTTACGTATGCCAGGAAGGGGAAAGGTCAAATTTCGGCTAAGGGGGGAAATAATTGAACATGGGGGCAATTATAGATGGAGGGAATAGGGAGAGTCTTGAGGCATTTTCAGTTAGGAATAAGAAGACTATGGGCATTAATAACTTGGCCAGCTGGGCATTTATTAAGGGAGTCAGTTATGCTGTGAGAGGAGTATAAGAAGGGGCTTTGGGGGATGGGGGTGACAGGCTTTTGTAGAGTGAAGAATACTGTGAGTGATTGGGAGAGCCGGCGGTCTCTCGTAGAACCGACCAACTGTTACTGTTCTTCCTTTCTTCTGAATGAATACCAGTTTCTTTGCTGATATTTGAGTTGTGTGAATTCTGCTGCGAGTCTGAGAATTGTGTGTAAAGTTTCTGGGACCTAACAGTATATTGAGATTGACCAACACTTTGTAAGAGAGAGAATTGTCTCGGGCGAACTTTGCATTCCTTATACACCCTCAGAGGTGCAGATTGCTGATGTTTTGACAAAAGGACTATCTTCAGTGAAGTTCTTAGTCATACATGGCAAGCTAAACATGACTGACATCCATGGTTAGCTTGAAGGGGAGTGTTGGATCGAGTGGTTAAGTGTTAGTGGGCTTATTTATCATTCCTTGTCCTAGTTCTATTGTCTGTTATGGGCCTTTAGTTATTGGGCCTAAGCTGGTTTTTATTTGTACTGTCTAGGTGTCCCATCACTGATCAGGGGCATTCTAGTGTTTTGCTGTAATTTCATATTGCTAATACGAAATATTAGCTTCTAGGGCCGGCTGAGATTGATTTGCCGCTCATTCACTGATCTCTTCTCTTCTCTTCTCTTCTCTTCTCTTCTCTTCTCCTTCTTCTACTTCTGCACTTCAGCAAACAATATATATATATATATATATATATATATATATATATATATATATATATACTGTCTAGGGTCAGCCAAATTCCTTCTTAGACTAGGAAAACTCAAAGCTACAATTCTGCCACTCATAAACCAGATTATAGAAAATTAAATAACTCTTAAACTAATTAACCAATGACATTGAAAATTTAAACATGAATAACTAGTGACTAACAAATCAAACTAATTGTATGGACATAATGGTTAAAACAACAAAAATACCCCTACAACCAGAATCAACCCAATTCCCAAGAATGTTCATCCTGCCAAATCAGCAAAAGTGGTTGGGCTTTTCCTTCTAGAATATGCCCTTAAAGGCTGCATATGATCTCCATCAACCAAAAGGATAGGTCTGTATCCAGTTAACCCTCCCAAGCCACAGGAATATCATATCAAGAACTATTTGGAAAGTTTATGGAGTCCATAGAATGAGGGTGGGCCTTGGCACAATGGTTGGGTTGCTCCATTGTGACCTGGGTGACCAGGGTTCAAATCTCGGAAACAGCCTCTCTGTATGTGCAGGGGTAAGGCTGTGTACATCTGTCCCTCCCCAGACCCCGCATTGGTTGGAGCCTCGTGCACTAGGCTGCCCTTTTATGGAGTCCATAGAATTAACAAGGTTTGGAAACTTTCACAATTTAAGCATGTCCATATAGAAGATGAAATTATAATTGGAAAATTACCCTGAAGTATCTAGTACAGTTTTTGGAAATTGATTCATCTTTGATATATGCCACCTTATTGTCTCTAAATTCCTCTGGAACACATTCAGTATCATATCGCTCCACAATTTCAATAACCTGCAAATCAAATTTTTAAAGAAATAAGCTTTAATGCAGAATGTAGATTTTACACTATTTTAGTAAGAAATGTGAAAATGTATTTCAGCTGAAGAATGCATTAAAATAATTAGTGGAAGCATTACACTCCGTGAAGCATGAATGGCGATGAAACCAACAGGGATAAAAATGATACCCATTAGCAAAAATGTAGTGATTACCTGTAAAGTAGTAAAAGATGCCACAAATATTAGAACGTATACATATTAAATATATAAGAAGATAACATAAATTTGTTGCAATAGCTTACCCATGATGGTGTCAATACAGGTTTACAGGCTGGAAGACTTTGTTGGGTAAACTGATATAATGCTGCAAAACCACCACATCACTTATATGTTGACAAAAAAGGAGCTTTAAAACCAGTTTTTCTTTTGTAGAACTCTTTAAAAATCATATCTTGGAATAACATAAGGAATCATGTATCCTCATTGCCAAGGTGAGTTAATTTTAAAGTTTGCAAATTAGACTGTTCTTTCTCTAAGAAATTGGAGTGGTTCCTATCCATGGTAATGTGTTTTTCCTATCATATGGCAAAGAATGGATATAGAAAATACGTAGAAACATTCATATCAAAAACAACAATTGTGGATAAACATAATTTATCCTGGCAACCCTACATGCTGGAATAAGGCATTTCATGAGATGGTGATAATAGAATTGGTAACAAATTTTACAGTCTGATGGCCGTAGTTGACTGAGGATGGCAGAACTTGGGTATGGATGAGTACTTAGATCACAATGCCATACATATATAATACAAACATAACATACTGAAATATATAAGTAAAAGATACATGAGAAGAGGTATGCAAATCTATGGATGTTCCTTGTGGAAAAGTAAGAGAGAGAAAGTGCTCCCAGAATCCACTGAAAGCACTGACTATAAACATGGAGATCAACTAATGGGTCTAAATAAGATTGTGAAGCATGTTCTGTCCAATAATGTTTCTCGGCGGGGCAGTTCCCCTTCTTTCTAACATGACTGATATAAAGAATCTATAGTGCTAGAATGATATGAGTACGAGGTTCTCAAAGAAAGGATTGTCTGGAACATATGGTTTCATCTTGCTTGGAGATTGATGCAATGGATGTAGTTGGTAGAAATTGCATAGAAACTTGCTTTTTCAAGGACAAACAGATTAAAGAATTTGACTTTTAAATAAAGTAGATATGTTCTCAATTATCCTTCAACAAACTGTACTCGAGGTTCCAAATATCGATATACACCAATACGCCTAATGGGGCGTATCAGGTGTTTCAACTCCATGCTCTCCCTTTTTTATTAATTTTTTTCAAAACCTGTTCAGAGGGGTCGGTCTAAGGCTTCTCTACTCCCTGAGACAGATTAAAACACCAAAGCATGCATATTTGGCGTATTGGTGACCCACCGATATGTAATGAAAATTTGATGGCTCTATTCAAGGGTGGGAAATTCATAAACTAGAAAATCGGTATATGAACTTAAGTCCAATGAAGGATAGCCTTTACGATCTAGACAACATCAGTAGGGAAATGCCCGACAATGAATGATATAATAACAGGTTAGAAGAGGCATGGGCTTGGACTTTGAACAACACATGTGATTCAACTCAACTCAACTAAGTCTTGTCCCAAGTATATGGAGTCAGCTAAATGAATCAAGTTCTGCCATTCCACTTGTTTAGTGCCATATACATTATTAATTTATGGGCACTGAAGGGAGAGAAAGAAGGGCTTTGCTGAGAAAGGAATGGGAAAGCGTTATTAGACGAGAGGAGATTTATTGGCGGCCGAGATCAAGAATCACTTGGTTGAGGGAGGGAGATAATAAAACAAGTTTTCTTCACAAATATGCATTGGGTAGGAGGAGAAAGAATTTCGTCTCCAGAGTAACTGTCAAACAACAGGAAATTTCTTATACTGAAGAGATTGCAGAGGCCCTTATCAATTTCTACCAAAGTTCATTCTCTGAAGATAGTAACATAGTTGTCAAGGCGACGCCTAGGCAACAAGGCACCCTTTGAGGCTCGCCTCGCCTAATCGCCTAACAGTTTTCTACTTCCTACTATAAAATACTTTTTTATTCATTCTTTTTTGAGATTATAATTATAAAATAGACATGATTAAACTAAAATAATCATTTTGTGTTTA